GGAGAGAGCAGTCTCACAATAAAATGGGCGAAGACGCTCTGCTCTTGGACAGGATACTGAGACACGACTGAGGAAACTGCAAGCAGCATAAGAACCAAGTACGTGATAATCATCTTGGGGGTGAAAACTGTGCTATGAACTTCAAGAAACGTAGGAGGAGAAACTCGGATAGGGAAAGAAGGAGAAAGGGAAGATCTAAGGAAAGGTAAAGGAAAGACGAGAAGAATCGTTGAGTACGATTGAATGAAGAAGGCAATGGTGAATTGCCCAAGAGCCTGAAGTATTCACTTCGTCCAACTGCCTCAACTCCAGGGATCGAAGAACGTGAAGCAGAAAACAGACTCGAGAATATTGTCCCCGGAATCAGCTCATAAAGTGAATGAATTCGGCCAATTTTGGTACAATCCTAGGAGATGCCTATCCTCTAACTGATCATAATCGACTTGCTGCTGCAGTCCGCCGCAATCACTCGGAAACATTGAAAGTGACATACGCGACAACATCTTGATCAAACGCAATCGAAAACAAAACATTGTGAGCCTTATCAGGCATGGCAAGGAGAGGAAGAATGTATGAAAGTCGTGCCTACCTTGGACGGGAAGAGAATCGGATTGTGGATGTCTCTCTTTGGTATGGACGTGACGCAAAAGACGATCGAGATGTCTCTTCATGGCAATTGCGCATGGAGAACCACGTGATTACGAAGAATCTGGGGAGAAAGGATAAGCAAATCTATCAGAGCACAGAGTTCCGATAGTCCCATTCCACGTTGCAAAGAATGCACAAGATGAGGAGCCTCTTCGAAAATGAGTGTGGAGCGGTTAAGTCTCGAGAGTTACTCGGTATTTAAACAAACCGCAACATCACCATCGTGCGCAATCTTTGATATTGTTAAGCAAAGCGTGACCTTCGTTTGCTGGAGGTTGTGAGATTTCGGGTCTATTCTTGTGTCTTCTCCAGTGACAATGCGGTGGACGAGGCCAAGACAAAGGCCAAGTCGCTGGATACAGTCGCCATCATATCGGTTGCGCGACTCTCATCAGTAATTTTTTGAACGAACTAGTCGCACATGGACTAGTAACCTCGATCAGGTCGACATGCGAAAATGTTCTATATTTTTGGGTTATCTTGAAGTCTGTTCGTGGCAACATCGTGAAGAATGATGATTGCCTGGTGACGCAGATGTCTTATTCCGTAGTTATGAATTATGATCGACATTGTTTACAGTTTGAGGTCTTGGAACAATCACGGTCAAACTACTTCGTACGAATAACGTTACTATCATCGCTCAACCAGAACTAATCACGAGCCATGCGATTATGCAGAAATTCCAACTGAAAGGCGCTCGAGACTCGATCGATCGCTTTAAGTCTGCATTTTAACAGTCCTCCTTCTCAGGAAATCCAGGTTGACCCCCGGCTGTGACGAAGGGGTGATGTCAGTGCCATGATCAACTCATATAAGAAGACTGTAATGCAACAGACTTTATCATGATGGAAAGGAATCGATCGTCTCAAGTACAGCATATATCTGACTGAATATCGAGCTCGAGAATCAATCTTGGACATCTTCACGTGATAGGAACTCGACATGGCCGCCTCTCAAGCTGCAGGGCTCGTGGAGAAGGTCATTGGACATGGAGACAATGCAGCTGTCACCACTGATGTGAGCAATTATGCGAAAAATGAATATGGACAAGAGACGGGTGCCAGAATCAAGGCGACAACCTGGCAAGGAAAAAATAATATCAAAGTTGGTGGGTTCTCCAGGATCGTGCGCAGTATATTACTTCTCTCTGACATCGACGGCCTTAACAACAGTCGAAATGCCTAAACCTAGAGTTATCGACGAAGCTGATGTCATCGTCAAGGTGACGGGAAGCACAATTTGTGGAAGCGATCTCCATTTATATCATGGTATGATTTATGGTCACCACAGCGCAACCACGCCTGGGAAAGACGCGCATTTCTAACCTCGCTCTGTCGCAGGGGTCATTCCCGAACTTGAGAAAGGCGATGTTCTTGGACATGAGTTCTGTGGTGTAGTTGAAAGTGTGGGACCTGGTGTCAAGAATATTAAAACCGGCGATCGTGTAGTGGCCTCGTTCCCAATCGCTTGTGGGAACTGCATGAACTGCAAGAAGCAGCTGACTTCGGCGTGCGAACGGACAAACTCCAACAGCATTGCAAACGCATTGTATGGCAAACGTACAGCCGGTTAGTGACACCTGCGGAGCGATCCGATTCCGAAAGAAGTATTACTCACTGATTCTGCTTTCTGTAGGTATATTTGGGTACAGCCATTTCACCGCTGGTTTTGCGGGAGGTCAGGCGGAGTATGTTCGTGTGCCGGAAGGGGACGTCAACTTGCTGCAGCTTCCAGATGATGTTCCATTTGAGAAGGGCCTTTATCTGTCTGATGTTTTGGCCACCTCGTATCACTGCGTCACTGATACGGGAGTGGACAAAGGCGATGTTGTTGCGATCTGGGGTGCAGGCCCCATTGGACAGATGTGTGCCAAATTCAGTTTCGATCAAGGTGCGAGCAGAGTGATTCTCATCGACGGTGGTGAGGGTGCTTGGAGACTTGACTTTGTCAAGTCCAAAATCCCTAAGGTCGAGACTCTGGACTTTACCAAATTGCCAAGGGGAGAGTCGGTGACTTCAGAATTGAAGAAGAGGGTCCACGGCGGCCCGGATGTGGCTCTTGAGTGTGCCGCCGGCGAATATGCTAAGGGATGGCTGCATTACTTTGAGACCCTCCTGGGAATGGAGACGGACACATCGGAAATCTTGAACGAGATGATCACGTCCGTTCGGTCTTTTGGGCGAGTGGGCGTCACCGGCGTCTATGCTGGCTACGTAAGTCACATTGTCCTCCATGATATCGGGAACGCTCCAGATTAACGACTATCCCAGACCAATCACTTCAACATAGGTGCTATGATGCAGACGGGTGTTCGCTTGATTGGTAACGGCCAGGCACCAGTGCAAAAGTACTGGAAGCATCTGTTGGAGCTCATCCAGAAAGGTGAAATCAACCCCCTGGATATGGTCACGCACCGCATGCGCCTGGAGGACATGGAGAAAGTTTACGCGCTTTTTGACAAGCGAGAGGAGGGCATGCAGAAGATCTTTGTGCAGACCAGATTCTCTGCGCCTCCAGCCGCGGGATCCCCGAGTCTGACAGTACTGTAGAATAGCAGTCCTATCTTGGACTGTTGGGGACCATTTGAGCAGCTTAAGGAAGGTGCAGATAAATTGTATTCTTGATGGATGAATTGGAAGGTTGTAATTTGTTCTTGGGATTGATTGTTGGATGCTATAAGGATGACATTGTGTCAGTTGTGAAGTGACTAGACTATTATTGTCTACCTATTTGAAGCAAACTTTTCGTCGGAATATCTAAATCGGTAATACTGGATAATGTACTGTCTATGAACCGCTCATACTACAGCACGTAACTACAGACAGTGCACCTAGGATTGACTGTAGCAGGCTAGCAGCAGCAGTAAACCGGCCCGAGTTTCGCCATTTTGTTTTCGCTGATCGGCATTCCAGGCTGATAACCACAGAATGAGAACCGCAACGAGGAAATGATTAGGAGACCGACCGAAAAACTCTCTCCTTCATACTAGATATGGAAACGGTCACAGTTTTACTCAACCAAATAATCAGCAATATGTTGGGCAAATAAGCGAATATAGCCGAAACAACCGGAACAAGTAAGGTGGGATCAGATAAGATCAGATGATAAAGGGATCATCAGTAGCTGGGTCAAATCATATGTCATTGACTGTCGGAGTTTGCTCATTATTCGCTCACCCGGCAGAGGTCACTGTGGATGCCGTTACAGAGTCCTTATCAGATGGAGTTGTGATTGGTGGTTCTAAATTCCCATTTCTAAGGTCCGCTGTGCGCGCCTGAAGCCCTTAAATCATTGCTACTTTTGAGCATACTTTGCAAAGGTGGAGGTATTCCGGAGCGTGTAAGTTGAAGCGGGATATGCTCAGTTTAGCAGTAAACTTGGCTTAATGCAGAGAAATGAGCTCGCTACTGCCTCTTTCTACTGGATGCAGACAACTGACAGATCATTCAGCACCGGGAGGGGTATCACCAAAGGCCAAAAGTTCTGCCTGGGCACGGTTAGTCCCAGAATGGAGTACCGTTCCGTAAGAGTCAACACGGTTCCCAACTGTGGGGAATATGATAAAAAGTTTGTCATGGACTCGAAGAACTGAGAACGAAGCAGGTTTTTATATTGCTTCGGTGTAAGGAAGCCCTGATATATGTGTGTGTGCTCTGTCTGTAGCGTCACATCGTAGTCCAGTTTCAAGGAACAATATCAACGCAATCACCAAAGTATTTACTAAGTACAAAGCCATTCTAACCCTGCTGCAGTAGTGAGATTTCGCAAATGCAGAGCACCCTCTATGGACCAAGTGGACTCATGGTGGATCGTTGTATACCCTAACTAACCTATCTACGGAGTACTTACCTAGTACATGCACCGCCGAAATCGGGAAGACGCGCACGATAATCTAATCTGATCCGACTCTCTTTTATTCGCCTTCTTTTCCTCTTTAGTTCTCCCTTACTCTTCTGACTCTTCTCTCCTCGGCTTTTGCTCGCTCTCTTCTATTCTCCAGCAATTCGATTTGTTCTTTTTTCACCTTTTTTCCATCAGTTGACTGAAACTATTCATATATTTTCTCTGCTGAGAAAAATCACAAAACCCAGCTGAGAGTCTCTTGACTTCATTGAACTCATTAACTTCCTCTCCAACTCTGATGGGCGCACTTCCGCTCTCCCGCCCGAACCTCCCCAAGTGACACCACCAAAAGTTAGTCTGTTCCTTTCCCTGCTTCGTCCACCTTCCTCCGATGCCATCCACCATCCTCCTCCACCTTGTTCACTTTCCATCATTAGAATTTTAAATATCCCACTAATGACCATCCAGATCGCTTTCCTGAGATATAGGGAGTCTCATCACCCGTAATAATGTCTACACCCTCAATAGCTCCCACACCTACTTCACTGGTGCCCGCATTAGCTGCCAAGCCAGCTATCTCACCGTCGCCTGGTCCGGGCACACCCGGGTCAATTACTTCCAAGGAATGGGTAATCCCACCACGACCAAAACCAGGCAGGAAGCCAGCCACAGATACGCCTCCTACAAAGCGCAAGGCGCAGAATAGAGCCGCCCAGCGTGCCTTCAGAGAACGGCGAGCTGCTCGCGTTAATGAGCTCGAGGAGCAAATCAAGAAAATCGAAGATGAGCACGAAATCCACATTGCGGCGTTCAAGGAGCAGATCACGAATCTCTCTCGCGAGGTGGAGCATTGTCGTTCCGAGATGACCTGGTGGCGCGATCGATGTCATACATTAGAGAAGGAGGTATCGGTGGAAAGGAGTGCCAAAGAAGCTATTGTGAAGGAATTCCGATCGTCTCTTTCGGACCGGAATGCTGCGAACTCCAATAAGGAGCCTCTTCCTCTTGCCACATCCACTCAGAACCGTTCCTCCGACCGTCCAGACCGTGGTGATGCATCCAACAATGACAATGGAGAGGGTCGGGAGGAGGTACCCTTAGGCTGCAACGACTGCTCCACATCGCACTGCCAGTGCATTGAGGATGCTTTCACCATGCCGGGAGTTGTGGCTCAGGAACATTCCAGACGTCTTGATACTACCAAGCCGGGTCGTTCAGAGCCTGAGATCAAGCCAGACCCGGAAGAGATGGAAATTGATTTCACTTCCCGATTTGCCGCCATTCAACAACAGGACCATTCGCCGACATCCGTTTCATCGCCTGCTGTTGATCCTTGTGGGTTCTGTTCAGATGGCACGCCGTGCATTTGCGCGGAGATGGCTGCTCAGGAGGAACAGCGTCCGCGAAGGAGCTCTTTTGAGAATAACCGACTTGCCCCTATCCAAAATCTTTCCCAATTCACACCACCCCCTTCCGACGGCGACGTTCGCTCGGAAGTTACGCTGCCACCCATCAGCCAGGCCACAAATCCCTGTGCAAACGGGCCAGGCACATGCGCTCAGTGTCTCGCGGATCCCCGGAGGACCCTTTTCTGCAAGACTCTGGCCGCCTCCCGATCCCCTAGCGCTGCCCCGTCGGGATGCTGCGGAGGCAAAGGCGCCGATGGCGGGTGCTGCCAGTCGCGTAACACCAATGCCTCACGAGGCGGGTCTGGTAGCAATAACAACTCGACGTTGGGATCTTCGACCGCATCATCCTTGACTTTATCTTGTGCCGACGCCTACACGACCCTCTCACGTCATCCTAATTTCTCCCGGGCCACCGACGAGCTATCATCATGGCTGCCCAAGCTTCATACCTTGCCTAAACCTCGAGACTTTCCCTTAAACGATCGTGGGGTACCAAGGGCCGCTATGGAAGTTGAGGCTGCGAGTGTCATGGGCGTGTTGCGATACTTTGACCGGCGGTTTGCCGACAAATAAGCTATTGCATCTCCGCGTGCAGAATCACTTTCGTCCTTGACTTTCTCTTCCCTTCTTGATGATACCCAAATCTGACTCGTGACATGTCTGTTTGTATTATACACCTCCCCCCTCGCACCACCCCGTTTTTCATTTCTTAGGGCCTTGAACTGGTGTCCGCTATTTCACAATGGCTTTTCTCTATTTTCTTCTGTATTCCCTCGTCCCACTGGAGGACGGCCAGCGACCATGACTCTTGGGCCACATGGCTGCACCCCATGCCTTCATTGATTTCAGCTGCGGCAGGTCGGGATTTACCAACAAAAGTGGCAACCAGAAAGAATTCTGTCTGGTCGAAGTATCGTGATGGGGTATCAACCACGATTAGATGGACATTTACGTGAATGTGATGATTTAGACGGCGAAACGAATGGCGTTCTTGGTTGCTTTGCTATCGGGCTTACAAATTTCTGGAACATCTTCGACTACAACCTGAGTCAAACGATGAAAACAGTGGCTTAGACAGGATTGTATATATCTTGACTGAAATGAATAGGAGAAAGAGTCATTCCATTTTCCGCTCGATGTTTCGGATGTTTGAAATATGGCACCAGGCATGTACAGAGTCGGTCTTGGCCTACCGTCTGTGATGAACGAGTCCATTCTTTTAAGTGCTCGAACCATCCATGATGGTCGACACTAGGTAGCCTCTATCGAATGATGTACCGGTACAGACATAAATATAAGAGCACGCAGATGGAGCTTCAAGATTTCGTCTCCTTGGAAAATGGGTATTATCTACATACAAGCATACATACGTACATGGACCAACAGGAATCGCTAACGGGCGCAACGCCTTCCACTCCTGCCCTGGCCCCGAACGCCAAATAATTAATACAGGGCGAGAATATCGTAAAAGAGAGGAGTGAGTGTGGAGGAAGTCCTCCAAATATGGAGTCGAGAAGGGTTTCGATAGGTAGGGTAAAGGGTAAAAGAAGGGGGCGTTAGTCAAGGAATTGAACAGGGCGCATATATCCCAAGCTTCAAGACCCAAGGATAATCAGAAACGACCACCACTAACCATCACTTCCTCATCCCCTCCGCCTCCGATGGAGCCTAGCAGGCCGGCGCCCCAGATACCGGCGATACCCCACATACCGATTCTCCAGCCCCGATAGAGGCCGCCGATGCCTTGTCCCTGGCGTTTTTTGAAAGAAATGGGCTTCCCGAGAGCCCGCTCAGCATCGGAAGAGGGCGCGCTGACACCCTCTTCATAGACTATGCCCCACATCGTCCCTACAATGCCACGGTAGGTCTGAGGAACGGGAACGATGGTCTCGACCACAGATGTCTCCTCAGCGGTAGTGGACGTGCTCGAACGAGAGGTGGCGGCATACTTCTGTCGGATACTGGGTGCTGTGTACGTGGCAATCTGTGCACGACGCAGGATAGTCTCCAGTGGAAATCGAACAGCAAGCTCTAGGCCGGACCCAAGGAAAGCAAGAAGGTTCCACATGGAGGGATTCAGAACTGGGTCAATCGATAGGTAGGACTTGAAAAACAGCGGTGTAGTAGTTGTGATAAAATTGGGTAGACTCGAATGCAGGATAGTGATAGGGATCAGGTGGGAAGGGATCATGCAGTTGGCAGTGGGGAGCTGTCGAATCGCTCGGAGGAGCGAGCGCGGCCCATGAGTCGCTGGGGTGAGGATGAGGAAGGTGCGAGCGGTGTCAATCGGGGACAACAGCATGGCGGATAGTGACGAAGAAATGAAGGAGAGCACCAATGTTGCAAAGGGTGATGTCGATGTCAAAATATCGGCTGTCATGGATGACGCAATATCCTCTTCTGGTAATCCCACAATGGCAGATAAGAGACTGCGTATAAAGGTGTTCAACGTCGGAAGGAGTAGAGAGTAGATAAAAGTCGCGTTGGTCGCTTTCCATGGCGAAGTTGGGCCACTGGCGGTCCACAGTTGTGATAGGACCTCCATCAACGAGGAGGGGTTCTTGATTGTAAGGCTATACTTGGGCGAGGATGGCGAAGATGGTATATAGCCGCTGCGGTCTGTGATATGGCGTCGAGATTTTCGGCTCCGTGCAGCTGTTGGCGATGTGGCCATGGGAGCTGCAGAGGTAAAGTAACTGCTCTCGTCATCTGAAGTCTGGGAGTCCTGTCGCCATCAAAGATGCACGTCAGTAACCGATTCCTACACGCGCCTTGAGAACATTTCAGATGGTGGCAGCTCATACTTCAGCACTTTCATCGAATGAGTCCATCCGACCTGACCTCCTGCGTTCATCCGCAGGCCGTTGCCCATCTTGCGAGTCGGGCACCACATACGCCTGTAGGATGGTTTTGGCGACGTCAAATGGCTGGGCAGTCAGCACGCTGGTGTAGCGCCAAATCGCCGCATCCATTGCATCTCGAATCCATTCTGATAGCGATGGAGAGCTCTCCAGATACTCGGAATAGTCCAGATCCGGTAGCAGGTCGCGAGCGGAGCTTCCGAAGACCTGTGCGGAAGACGGAGCGGCGGTATGTGAAGACGAGGAGGCGTTGGAAGCTTCAAGGCCAAAAGACGGAGGGATATAGTACGGGCGTAGAGGATTGGGTCCTTCACGGGTAGAGTTCATTATGGAGGATTTATCTCAATCAGTCGATATAGCTTGTAATATTAAGGATGTGGGATAAATGGTGGGTAAATCCTTTTGCTCAAGACCGGGAGATATTTTAGATGGAGCTACGAAAAGTGACGCCGATGGATTTCTCAAGTTGCGCTTTATGTCCGAATTTCCCGCCTTTTCGGGATTTTCTTTTCTTACACCCTTCGACCATATAGATATCTCCCTCATTTCTGGTCAGCGTCCAGAGCTGTCTTACTCCCTGTGAAGGGGATATATTCCTTTGATCGTTTAGTAGCTTGTATATTGTATTTTTTTTGCCTGCGATTATCCGTCCTCATGTCGTTCTGGAGGGAGGCTTGTCAGCAACTGCGTCATGCAGTACCAAAACCTGCGAAGGGGGATCGCATGTGGCTGCCATATTCCAGGAGATTCATCAGCAGTTCTACACAAATGATGCGAGTTCAGCCGTATGGCAGGAGAATTGCGCAGATTGGAGGTGGTCAGAGGACATTCAACTCCCCGCGGCGAAGCTTCTCAGTGACTGCGGGAGTGCAGCACGGCCATATTACACCCCCCAAGCCTGGCGAGGAGTGAGTCAATTCTAGGAGGAAGGGGCGGCCATTTGATGCCTCATTCGTCGCTAACTTAAGCCATCCAGGCTTCATGTGTCATTCATCGATAAAGACGGACAGAAATACGACTTCGAGGTATCTGAGGGAGACAACCTGCTGGACATTGCGCAGGCCAACGATTTGGAAATGGAAGGTTCGTAATTACTCCTGGGCTGTGTACGCGACTGTCGATCTGCTTTTGGCTCATCTTAATTCTCCCGTATAGGTGCTTGCGGAGGGTCTTGCGCTTGCTCGACCTGCCATGTCATTGTTGAGGACCCGGAGGTGTTCGACAAGATGGAGGAGCCGTCCGATGATGAAAACGATATGCTGGACTTGGCGTTTGGATTAACGGAGACATCACGTCTGGGATGTCAGGTGGTGATGAACAAGGATCTCGACGGACTTGTTGTCCGACTACCTTCCATGACACGGAATCTGCAGGCCAGCGATTTTGCGCAGAAGAATTGAATTGATGGAGAGGACCGGGACAAAGGCGATCTGTATATTATCAAGAATTTTCCCCTTTACATGAATGAGGTTCTATGAGCAGATTGGATGTATGTGGACAACAATGATCATATCTCTGGGTATCTACAAGGACGATCCGGCCTAGGGCTTCGTGGGAAGTCAAATAAATGTATAAGAGGTGTTCAACTTTTGTTCAGAATGCAAGAAACATCGTCCGAACCCCTAACGCCTTGTAAATGCCTTGTTGCCCTGTTCATACAAAAACCGGTTCATCCTGGATAAGAGCGCCTCCTTTAAGCCTCCTCGATGTTCAGCGGTTTCCCCTTCTTGCCACTGATTAACTCAAGAAAGCCCTGTTTGCTGACTTCGTTGACGGCCTTCTCTCGTTCACCCATCCCGATGGTACCCTTCTTCCGCTCTTCCCTGGCAGCCTCTTCTCCACGGACCTGGGCTGCGCGAACAGCATTGAACAGTTTCACCACACCACGCTGCGCAATCTTCCGAAGACGCTTTTCCTCCTCTGCAACAACACCAGTAAGGCCGCGCTCTACGCCCATGACATCGCGGACGCGGCCACGGTCTAGCTCCTCCCTCTTTTCTGCGCGAAGCTTCGCGCGCGCCTGCTTGTCCAGTTTCTCGTCCGCAAGTTCGCTAGTAGTTTGCGCTGCCGATTTACTGCGTGAAAGGACCGGGTCCGCCCGAGCTGATGTAGGCAGTTTCGTCGAAAGAATCTTGGAAATAGATGTTGAGAATGCGGTAGGGTCATTTCGTTTAGCGACGGGCTTGCGTCCGTTTGTCGATGTGGGCAATGAGGTGTCCGAGTCTCCATACTCATCATCTTCGATATCAGAGGAACCTAGCGAGTCCGATGCATCGTTGTCGTCCGCGTTGCTGTCATTATCGCTAGCAGCAGAGCTGTCGTCGCTGTCTTCTGCTTTCCTCTTCTTTTGTGCGCCTAGCGACCTTGTTTCGCTCGCTGATGGCTTCTGTGGCTTCTCTTCCACCGGCTTCTCTTCTTCCTCCGTATCGGAATCAGCGAGATCGACTGCTTGGAAATCGGTGGGCTGTTCATCTTCCGCTTCGTCGGAACTGCTGTGGTATTCGAGCTGCTTTCTGAACTTCTTCTTGGGCCGACCGGCCTTATTCTTCAGACTGTCCAAGACCTTGCGCTTCTTCGCCATTGGAGGAGCCATTGTATCTGATTTCAAATGCGTTGGTGAACCGACCCAGATGCTGGTTGTGCTTTGTCTGAGCGGTGACATTATACAAGTGACTTTTTTTTCGCATTTTCTTCTTTAGGCGGGCGGGATAGGGAATCCGAGCTCCGATTGGCCGGCGGGGCCACTCCAGACTCTCCGCATCGCTTCTGCTGTCCTTTTGCTTGTGCATCTCGTTGCCCACAGAACAGTACCATCCTCTCGCACTGACACTCCGTTTATCTACGGATTATTGTGGATTTAATTTGAAACACTTCTTTTCTTCTATCAGTTCTTCCAATATAGCCAATATCCGCTATGGTCCTTCAGGATCTCGGGCGGCGAATCAATGCCGCCGTCAATGATCTGACACGGTCTAGCAATTTGGATGAGAAGGTGAGACGCTCTATATCCCCTCTTGTCTTGGGAAGTCTTTGAGCCGATGCTGATAGCTGCTAGGCTTTTGATGACATGTTAAAAGAGATCTGTGCGGCATTGCTATCTGCAGATGTCAACGTTCGCCTCGTTCAGACCCTCCGGAAATCCATCAAATCCAGCGTGAACTTCTCCTCGTTGCCACCCGCCGTCAACAAGAAGCGTTTGATCCAAAAGGCCGTTTTTGATGAATTAGTGGCGCTGGTCAATCCGCATGCAGAGCCATTCCGCCCGAAGAAAGGACGATCCAATGTGATCATGTTTGTGGGGTTGCAGGGTGCGGGAAAGACGACAACGTGTACTAAGCTGGCCCGACATTATCAGATGCGCGGGTTCAAAACAGCGCTTGTCTGTGCGGATACTTTCCGTGCGGGTGCTTTTGATCAGTTGAAGCAGAATGCCACCAAGGCCAAGATTCCGTATTATGGTAGTTTGACGCAGACGGACCCCGCGGTGGTGGCAGCCGAGGGTGTTGCCAAATTCAAGAAGGAACGGTTCGAGGTCATCATCGTGGATACCAGTGGTCGGCACAAGCAGGAAGAGGATCTTTTCACCGAAATGACCCAGATTCAGAACGCCGTTACTCCAGACCAGACAATACTTGTCCTCGATAGTACCATCGGTCAGGCGGCCGAGGCTCAGTCAGCAGCCTTTAAGGCTACTGCTGACTTTGGTGCAATCATTATCACGAAGACGGATGGCCATGCCGCCGGTGGTGGTGCCATTTCCGCTGTTGCTGCGACCCACACGCCGATCATCTTCCTGGGTACGGGAGAGCACTTGATGGATCTGGAACGCTTCGAGCCAAAGGCTTTCGTTCAGAAGCTCCTTGGAATGGGCGATATGGCCGGTCTCGTGGAGCATGTGCAGGCGGTGACCAAGGACTCGGCTGCCGCCAAGGAAACGTACAAGCATATCGCGGAGGGTATCTACACGCTGCGAGATTTCCGTGAGAATATCACCTCGATTATGAAGATGGGTCCCCTTTCGAAACTCTCCGGCATGATTCCCGGACTGTCCAACCTGACCGCTGGCTTGGACGACGAAGACGGGTCGCTCAAACTTCGCCGCATGGTTTACATTTTCGACAGCATGACCGCCGCTGAGCTGGACAGCGATGGCAAGATATTCGTAGAACAACCGAGCCGTATGGTCCGCATCGCTTGTGGCAGTGGGACGACCGTCCGCGAAGTTGAGGATCTCCTGTCTCAGCACCGCATGATGGCCGGCATGGCCAAGCGGGTTGGCGGGCAAAAGAAACAGATGCAGCGTGCGCAAAATATGCTCAAGGGCGGCAACAAGGAGCAGCAGCTGGCGGCCATGCAGAAGCGGATGGCGGCCATGGGTGGTGCTGGTGCGGGCGGTCTTCCAGGAATGGGCGACATGGCAAAGATGATGCAGATGCTGCAGGGTCAAGGCGGCGGTGGTATGCCGGGGCTCGGGGGAATGGACTTGCAGAGCATGATGAGCCAAATGAGTGGTTTGATGGGTGGAGGACGAGGACGAGGACGGTGATTTTAAGCGAGTTCTTCCTCTTCGTTCCGAGAGTCACGGCTGTCTACGTTCATGCATCCTTCTTTTCTATGTTCACTGGGTGATCACTTCCACACTTATCCGGTGCCTTTTGGGCGGTTGATCTGTAGCTCGGATCAGTCTAGCATTTGTACGGCGTTGGGCGTGCCTTTCTATTTTGATCATTCGGGGGGATGACCTTAACATATAACCATACTTTCTTGACACTTGACGCTGTATAGCTCAGAGGAAGATGTGAACGCGTGCGAGATGAGATGATTTCAAATTTTCAAACTCCAGTAAAAATTTCCAGACTCCAGTACAAAGTAGCCACCGTCCCCCAATATCCGGTAATAAACAAGTTGAGTAGAAAGCCCACGTGTCCACACACGGGAACGATATCAGTCCAATCTCTCCGCTCTCTCAGTCTTATCCAGCAGCTCATAGAATTCGTCCAGGGCCCGGCGTCCAAACTGGCGGGCTGTCTCCTCAAATCGACCCACCACAGTCTGGATTGCAGCATCCCACCCTTCCGCTCTCCGATTGTCCGCCAGCACCTTGCCAGGAGGCAGTCGCGGATGCTTGGCGGACGATGCCTCCATGAGGGAATCGTACTCGAGCAAGGGAACGCTGAGTTTGTATTTCCACACAACTTGGTCCTCCACGTAGAGGGTATACGTCAGAACGGAACTCGGGACCGTCACCGGAGTACCGGACACGGTGTCGATCTCCTCGTCTTGGACGCTGATGTCAACAAGGCCGTACTTGACGTTGCCGTCGGGGACGTACTTGACCGCCACATCCTCGGTGTCGGTCTGCCGGTATGTGCGGATGGGAAGATAGAACATGTTGAGCGGGCCGACGCTGAACTCGTGTACGCCTTCTCCGGCCGTGTGCGCGAGGAGATCCTCGCCGGTGTAATCCAGCGTCGGGTCGGGGAAGCGGGTGGCCCCGAACTCGTGGCGGTCGCCGCTGAGAAGGACGACGCGGACGCCGAGTTCGCGCTCCGCGCGCCACATGGCTTCGAAGACAGTGCGGCGCTCGTGCAGGAACCCGCCCCAGGTGTCGGTGGTGCCGACATGCCAGTTCTTGGTGAAAGGGACGCTGGAGGCGACGATCTTCCAGCGGACTTCGGCGGGTTCGGGCCGGGCGAGGTACGCGAGGAGGGATTGAAGCTGGGCGGATCCCAGGATGGTAGAGTTGACTTGCGCCGGCTCGGAGCGATAGGCGCGCGTGTCAAGCATGAAGAAGGAGGCCGGGCCGTGGATAAACGAGAAGTACGTCGTGTTCTCGGGGTTGGCGAATGCCATCGGTGGGATGGGAGGATTCACGCTGACATGGTAATGGATATAAGGGTCGGCGGCGGCGGGATAGGGCGCCGTGGTGTTTCCCTTGGACCAGTCATTGGCAATCTCGTGGTCATCGAGCGTATGTATCCAGGGGAGGCCAATGGCGTCGGATTTGGACCATGATGGCGACGAATACACCCTGCGATACTCGCTACGGTAATGAGCCACAGACGACCCGAACCGTTGTGGCACATCGATGTAGATGAAGTCGCCGAGGAACATCATGAACGCGGGACGTAGCAGATCAGGCAATTTGCCCAGCGTCTCGGTCATTGTCTCGATGCCAGGAATACGGAGCGAGTGCGACAGCGGGTTGTACGGGAAGTTCGGTTTCATACAGCTCGATGTCACGAATGCCAGTCTGTGGGCCGATTCCGTGCCTGGCAGAGGAGCTGTTACGAAGGTGCCTGTTTGCTTGTTCGACAGAGAGTAGCGGTAGCTGGAGGCCGGCTTCAGGCCCTTGATGGTCACGGACGTCGTGTAATCCGTCGAGTCATCCAGTGAATAGATAAGGCCCTCTTCGACCCATTTTGATGGGTCATCTTCCAAGACCTCTTGATAGAAGACTACCAGGGGCAGTTGCGCGGAATCGGGCTCCCGTACCAGAAGATTGGCCGTGGTGGGGGAGACATAACCGATGCGTGAAAAAGCGAGACTCTTGCCTGAGTGAAAGACTACTCCTCGTAGCATGAAGTCAAGAGTCATAAGCGTAAGCACAACGTTCACCAAGACTGTCAGGCGAGTCGCTAGGGGCGACTGAGCACAGGGCAAACCAGTCAACAGCGTGTTGAGCGGCTGAGCTTTAGATGGGCGCTGCATCCTTCCTGGAGACCAATATCAGTACCACGGACAAAAATACGATGAAGGGGGCCATCAGTTACTGGAGTGTCGGGCATTTTTTCCATTATTGCGCGGAGCAGCACTCTCTGTGTCCTGGTAGATCAAGGACCGCAGTGAGGCGAGGTACACTGCCAATGATGTGAAGATAATGGGTGGAAAATGATGACCAGGGACCTAAGTAACAACTCAGTGGACTACCTCGAAAAATCCAGCTACAAAAGAGAGACCTACCCATCGTAGAAATACAAAGGTCGCCAACCTGAGGACCGCGGAACTCGTCGCAGCGGCAATCCGCGGGATAGACACCATGTCTGCTGCAAGTCAAGTCGTGGATGAGCTAGCGAGAGGGAAGAATCATCTCAAGTCAGGTCAGTTAGTCTTTTAGAAATGGGATAACGGTGTAAAACCGGGGTGAAAACAATTACGAAGTGCATGAAACATTGAACGATAGCGGCGAACGGGTTGTTGGCGGTATGACGACACTCGCTGCAATTGAACTGTATATCCCACTCTCCATCGCCATCCCCAAAGTTAACCTCCCTCCAGATGAGTCTGTAGGCGCTCTGAATTGGCTATTGATGTGTACACATATCCAATGTTCTATGTTTCAGTATTAATCTATCGTTGATTCATCATATCTCGAAGAACATTCATCAAACTGCTGGTCATAGGTCCAGCGCTGAGCATCTGCCCAGCAACAGCTAGCACATCCTTCATGTGCATACTAAGCGACATCTCTGCCGCCCATTGCCATGGATTCTGCCGCTCACCAGGCATGGAATTGAAGTATTCCCAGCCCATGACCCCTCCAAAGTCCGGAAACTGCTCAACCAACACTGCAAGAATGGGCCCAATCTTTTCGCGTGGGACGTAGCCTTGCGACCCGTTCCCTGGGTTCGTCAGCAGCCCGTAGACAACGCGTTGAGGTGACCATCCTTGCGCCACAATGGCCGCATACATCCGGGGGTCCTCGGCCAGACCCCAGCCGTTGTAGAACTGCGCATTGTACCAGCTGATCTTGGACGCTCGTTGCTGCTCGAGCAGCCGATAATCGAACCCAGAAATGTTACCAATTCCCAAGAGAGCCGCCGCGACTGGCGCCAGGGTGATGATAAAATCATCGCCCAAGTCCAGCTTCAATCGGTCGATCAGCCGAATGATGCCGGACAGAGACATTTCCTCTTCCACATCTAAATCCAGCCCGTCCAGCTGATGGCGCCGAACCATCGCTAGAAGAGGCTGGTAGTATCGCTCGAACTTCTCCTGGTCGCCATCCAGACACCTATAAGACCCCTGCGCTGCCCCACCGAGCATTCCCATCACCTTGACACCGCTGCGTTTCAACGCGGGCACCTCCGCCCACAGCGGGTTGTACATCTCATGGTCAGGTGGATCATCGTTGAGCGTGATATGGCCCGGGTCGTCGTTCAGATGAAAAGCTGCGATGATGACGTGGGTAACGCCGGTGTTGTTCTTCACTAGAGGCAGCACAGAGACATACTCGCCTCGGTTCGGACACAGGGTCTGATGGTAACAAACGAGGCGATGGTGCTCCGGTCGTCCAGGCACTGGAGGCATGATTTATCTTGATTTAGATGTCGCACAGAAAGATACGTCGATGCAAGCAGTCCTGACTCATGTCGTGTAAGGATCGCTGCGGGGACGAGAGATTAGGAGATGGAACGGATCGTCTGCTGCCCCGCTAGGAATATCGACTGGGGAGTCCGTTCAAAGGTGGACACCGTCACTGGTGATGCGCTATTGAAACATGTGTGGATCACATAGAAATTGACGGTGTCTACAGCGGTGAGATCACCAGAAAAAAAATCCAGATCGAATGAAAGATGAGCAGTCTGTTGATACCTTAAAAAGACTCCAACTTTCGACTCCAAAACAAAAAGTTGGAGATGCTGCTGACTCAGCCGTCCCTCAAGTTAAGTTAACTAACTAATAGGAATATATAACAGACAAGACGCTGTATTAACTGCAGGATATCATATCTTATCTAACACATCAAATGGAATATACAGTCCTTCACCAAGCTGTATGTCCACCGTCAACGACAAGACAGCTTCCTGTCATGAAACTGCTTGCTGGTGAGAGCATGAAGATAGTGGCGCCTGTGAACTCTTCAGGAACAGCCAATCGACCTAGCATGTTCTCCTTCTCCCATGTTTCTTTCAAGCCGGGAACCTCCTCGAAGTTCTTTTGAACCATGGGGGTGATGATATGCCCGGGACACAGCGCGTTCACTCGGATTCCGTACTTGCCCCATTCCATCGCCAGATTCCGCGTGAGCTGAATGACTGCTGCCTTGGAGGCATTGTATGCAGGACAGGTCAGACCCTTATTGGCAATCATTCCTGACATACTCGCCACGAGCACAATGGATCCCGGCCGCTTGGTTTGCATCATCTGTTGCGCGACGGCGTTGGCGGACATGAAGACGCCCGTGAAGTTGACGTCCATCACTTCTGCGACATCTTGTAGAGTGTGGTCTACCGCGTCTTTGACACGCTGAATGCCCGCGGCTGCTACCAGTCCACTGATCTGCCCGTGTTCTTTGGTGATATGACTGATGGTCTTGTTCAGGTATTCTCTGTCTCGCACGTCGACGTGATGGTAATGTATTGACCCCTCCGTGTTCTTGGAGGCTTCTTGCGATAGTGCGAAATCGGGGTGAGGAGTGTCTAGTCGATCAAAGCAATGCACTGTATTATCGATTGAATTAGCTTTGAGAAATGATCAGCATGTCCAGCCAGAGGGGAGTCACCTTGTGCGCCCGCTTGTACCATGGCTTCCGCTATGGTAAGCCCCAGTCCTCGTCCGCCCCCAGTGACAACATATGCCTTGTCGCGTAGACTGAAATTGGGATAGGCCTTTTCCGTTGAAGACGCAGCCGGTACTGTTCGAAGATCTTTGCCTTCCTTGAAAGGTTCCAGATCCAGGCGCAAACTGGACGACGAGAATGTTCGGTATGCCGTAACTGGAGCCGTGACTTTGGCAAATCGGCCAGATCGAGTGATGGACGTTGGTAGCGAATTGAGTATGCGTATTGAAGCCATTCTTTGTTGCCTGTCTATCGGTAGAGTATGAAATTCTTGGAGTAACCAGTCGTTCGAGGCTTCTGAATGGATGCCAGTCCTTTATACCTAGCACTACTGCCAGCCCATGTTGACATTATGCAATACAATAGATAAGATCTTGTGTACCATGGGTGAAGTTCAGGGCATGTTTCCATCGACCAAGGCTGAGGGCTTGACTGTAGTATAGTATGACGTTTGCGTAAGGTCAGATGCGCCCCTGTGAGCCAGATCTCCATCTTGGAAGTTGATGCACGACCAGTTTATTTGATGCGGTCATTACCTTAGTGCTTTGCAAGCAGATTAATATCAAATGCATTTATTCCACTTGTAGTGGCCTGTGCCTGCTGACTCAACCTTAGTAGGGTCTTGATTCTTGACTCTATCTCGACGATCACCAGCTACTAAGTTTGCGGCCAGCATCATCTCGCCTCCCCTGCATACATAAGACGGTTTCTTATTTGTATGTGGTCACTGCTACCTCTCTGGATTTCTTGTCTCTGTTCAATTTACTGGTAAACCGACTCAATCATCTGTGCAGTTTGCCTGTCCATCCCCACATGATCATGAAGATGGTTTCACCATGACATATATGGCTGTCAGACGGACTTTCATCTTCCGACCAATCAATGAACGTTCAAATGAGCAAATCATGATTGTCGATATCTTACTTTGCCATGCGCAGTCTCTCCACAGGCCAATAAACAGGGAGTGATTTGTTGATCGCCTCCTGACATAGTATATCGAGAGTTCTTGCCATGGAGGAGGCAACTGCAAGCATCCTGGCAGGGCTACATAAACATCTGCCTTGCAAGATAAGACTACAGTGCCCACTCTACTGGTGTCAGCTTCTTTGATTGCTTCCGCCAATCGAAACTTTACGATCTACATCCTTGATCTTCTAACCGGAAATTATGCAACGCTCCCTATTTCGTCCACATCTCCTCTCGAACCGTCTCGGTCGGTCTACTTCTCTTTGGCGGACTACAGTCGCAACGGTCGCAACTAGAGCCGACCATCACCCAAACCCAGGCAATTTTGCCAACCGTCCCAAGGAAGAGCTCTCCGAGATTGGTCGGAAGGGTGGTCGCAAGGGAGGTAAAGCCCGGGGCGTTGGAGGCTTTCATGATATGGACCCTGAGAAACAGGTGAGACTAGGGAGGCCATGCATCATGTTATGCACATAGTGACTCGTCCATCAACAGCACGAAATCGCCTCGCGAGGAGGTCGTGCGACCAGGAAAGCAGCTGAGCAGGCAGAGAAACATCAGGGCGTCGCTGCAGAGAGACGTCACACTCATGAGCCTTCAGCAGCAGGTCCAGGGTTTGAGGAGTCATGGACGGCATAAATGTCTCCAAAGCTTTTAATATAGATTAGAGGTAGATGCGATGTATATCTAGATGTAGAATCAATTTGCTAGATATTAGAGAGGTAGAGAGATAGAGAGATAGATACCTCAGGCAATGCTGAGCATGTGTTACGTCACGGTCGCGGTTCCGCCAGTCCCAATCAGGCATTCTATAAACAATCTAATGTTGTTGCCCGAGAACTCAGGCATACACAAGGTGCGCGGTGCTCTGCGTCGATCCTCCACTCTCCTCTGTCAATCTGGCGATAATAATCAATCCATCTCAATTGGTTTTCTTCGGCAATCTCGCCGTCAATCGCATCAAGGTTCTTATCGCATTATCAATATCATCTATCTATACAACCCCCCAACCGAACGATGCTGATTGCCTGAGCGTACCCCCGACTGGATCTCACCATGGCTGACACCCGCTACACTTCGCCAGACCCGACAACCCACGACACGGTCGGCGCGTCTACAATCGCTACGCCTTTGTTTATGCCATCGTCACCTCCTCCTCCTCCTGAGGAGAGATTGGTTGATTCTCTTCCACGTGCTGATAGCCCTGTTTCCGACCGTGTCGCGGCCGAGATTGACGGAGAGCGTTCACCAGCGCTATCTAGAGCTTCGTCTCCCGATCATCAAGCGAACGAACTCGATGCGCGACTAGCGGAATATACCGTTGATTTTCGCGCTTTATCCGGGACACAGTTAGCTCGTGATGATGATACGCTACCGGATCTGAAATTCCCGCATGAGGAGGATAAGCTTTCTGAAGTCGGTGGCCCGGAGGACTTTACAGCCAACATGGAGAGGTATCTGATGGGCATGGATTATGACTCGGAGGACAAGGATTGGGAGGAGGATCAATCGGCACTCTTGAAGGACAATTCGCAGCCAGCGATTGCGCTGGGCGACAAGCGTGAGGGTCAAGAAGAGGAAAAGGAGGCGGACCATCAGCCACAACAACAGGGGCATGGCTTACAGCAGCCTGGCCGAGATGATGAAGCGGAAGTTGGCGAGTACAGTGAATTCGGGCCCCCTGTTGACATGTCCACGCCGTCCCATTTCCTGCGTAGGACAGGCGCCTTCGCTAAGGAAATGACCCAATTAGAAGATATTGAGGAGGATCCCGATGATGAAGCCCAACCAGTTTCCACACCATCCGTCCAAAGACAGACGGCTACACTACAGAAGGATACGACGGATTCAAACGAGGATTTGCGCCGTCAAATCGCTGAATTAAAAGCAGTGATTCGAGAGCGCGATCAGCAGCTAGAGAGAAACCATAGACGGGTACTGGAAGCCGCTTCTGCGGGGGAGCAGATCAAGCATTTGCAGGCTGAACTTCAGAAGAAATCAAGCCAGTTGGACGATCTTCAAGCGAAGCGAGACGACGAGGCAATTTTGCGACAGCAGATCCATTCGCTCCAGAATGAGAACGATGAAAAAGAGTTGTACATGCGGAGATCTTCATTCGGCCAGTCGGGACTCAGTGCGCTTCAGAAACAGCTCGGCGATATGCAAAAGGAGCTGCAGAGCAGGGATACGCGCCCGGACCTGGACGCAGAGCGCCTGGAGACGATCGCATACCTACGTCAGCAACTGGACCTGGCGCAAGAACAGTTGAAGAAACGCGATGCTACACTCGAAGACACCCTATTAAAGCTGAGAGAAGTCACCGCAGCGAAAGAGCTACAATTGCGAGAGAAGAATACCGAGATCGATGGGCTCAAGGCGCAAATTGATGATAATCTCATCGAGATTGACAGGCTGGAGACCGAACTAGACCAGGCGAACCAAGAATACCGAATTCTTGAAGAGAAGGTTGAATCTCTGGAGACCAAGAATCGCCCGCTGGAAGAGAAGAATAGCACTCTTGAAGCCGACCTTAACCGCGCCCAATCGCAGGTTACGGCTCAAGGAAACGCGCTCAAGGCCATGGCGGCAGAAATGCCACTCGAAGCAGGGGGGAGGAATACGTACACCGAGATTCTCGAACTTATTAAAGATCTTGACCCGCATAGCACCACACGCTCGTCTGGCAAGCCTTCCTTGTCAAGGGATGCTGACTCAAAAGATCATGAAATGGAAGCATATCGTCGGGATTTGGCCACGGCCCGGGCCGAACTGGAGGAGGCATCTT